TTTTTTTTTTTTTTTTTTTTTTTTTTTTTTTTTTTTTTTTGCATTCAATTACTCTGCAGAACGAACCTTACACGAGTATTTAGGTAACTCAGCTAACTTCAGACATGCATTTTAATAATAGATTTCATCTCTGAATGCATTATAAACAACACACCACACACCGTATAAATGGTGTTTAAGGAATTAATTGATTTCTGCATAATACTTTTTTTTTAATGTGAGAAGAGAGCTGCAAAGCCCTTGGCAGGGACCCAGAAATGTAATTAACACGGAGGGCCAAATTTTGCAGTTGTCCTTAGGTACTGCCTCCCCCAACTCCTGGCAGGTGCAAGGAGGAGGGCAGGGGGGAGTGTGGTGAGGCAGGAGGGAAGAGGGGCAGCGTTGGGCATGAAGCAGGGAAAGAAGCTGCAGTTCTCTGAGATCTTCCTTTCCCCTTTCAGGCTCTGAGCACCACCGTGTTGGAGTGCAGGTGACAGAAGCTACCTCTTCTCTCTCTTCTACCACCTCCTCCTCTGCAGATGAAGAATTGGATCCCCAGCTTTCCCCAGGGTCACAGGTAATGTCCCTTGGAAAACCCAACAGGGCGTTGGCCCGTGGGGGCCATTTACCATCCAGATTTCAGGCCCAATGTGGGCTCCAGCTGTGGAGGTTTCACCAGGAAAATCTCGCTTTATTGCATCTGACAGCAGCTCTTCTTTTTACCTGGAAACCCCCAAGAATTGTCTCCTTCAAAACATTTTCCCAGAGACTCAAATTGGGAAAGAGAATCCCCCCGCCAAAAAAAAAAAAAAACACACACACATATTTACTTGAAACCATTTGGTGACTGCAGCTCTTAAAGTGGGTTTAATATGTGGTCCAACAAGAAAACCATTGAAAAATTACAACAAGCAGATGCATATATCCCCAAGGGAGGCACAGCGTCATTTAAGAAGCACTCGAGGCAGATTGCATGGAAAATGTTATGTTTATTCCAATCAGGCCTATGAAATGAACCATGCAGTTTCATCTAGACATGGGCACCCCAGGATCCTACTGGGGAAGGGACTTCGCTATGTGCCCACTGGGGAGGCTGTGGTACTCTTTGCTTGGTGAACATTAATATTTCAAGAGAACACTTTAAACAATTCTCATTCCCATAGATCAAAAGCATAAACATATGCGTACGTCTGTATGCCACATACATGGAGACAAGCATCCATGACAAGAGCTCGCTGATATTTTCTTTATCCTCTGGGGCTGGAGTCTTTCCACTGGGACTGGGGTGCTGAATGGGTGGACTTAAAATGCTTTCCAGTGGACAGAGAAGTGGTTCACTGCTCTGGCAATGTTTATTTTTTGGAGGAGTGAGGAGGATGAGGGGGGGACCAAATTTATTTATTTGGACTCAACTTTTCCAAATCTGGCATTAGGAGCTTTGGCATCACCTCAAGTCACTCAGGGATTCCAACTCCCCATGGCCCAGGGTAGAGCAAGTCAGGAGGAAACTGGGACGAAAGAGAGAGAGGAAGGGGGAAAAGAGAGAAATGGAGTTGGGGAGAGAAAGAGTACGAGTTTTTCCTTTCTAAATGTGGGCTTCTCTGATTAGTTCAACATTCAACACAAATGAATTATGTGTTGTGTGGATTTCTGGGGTTCCCTACTACCCCTGCTTCTCCTTGAGTGACCCTAAGTTAATTCTATATTCAAATGAGACACAGATCCCAGCATCTGCCATCCTGATACTCATGGAGAATAAAAGAATGGGAGACTCTAGGCCAAGCCTCACAAATAGCTCCTTGTCCTCCGGCTGGCCCAGCGTGGATCTAGTTGTCACTGAAGCCTGCCATGTGGTGAGAGCATGCCTGCTTCGCCTGGCTTCTGACATGTCCAGATCTTACAGGGATGGGAGCTGGCAAGAGCACTCCTGATTTACAAGTTCCCAAGGGCTTACTGCAAGAATGAGGGGAGGTTTCTGCCCTCTAGTCTCTTTGTCTCTTTTATTCCACACAGGTGTGTCCCCAGCCAGGTGGCACGGAGCCCGTGCTAGCTCATGTACCTTTGTACAGGAAACGAGATGGGCTATGTTTTTGCTGCCTCTTCCTTTCGTTGGCCCCTTCCCATCACTGCCTTTCCTCCCAAGCACATGTCTGAATCTCAGAGACCAAGACAGGAAGACACATGGCAGCGCATCCTTGGTTCTGCCAGCGTTCTGCTTTTTCATTTGCTCTCTCTCGTGCCCTCACCCTTAGCCTCTTTCTTCTCTTCATCTTCACCATCACTGAGGATATACAAACTGAGCCTGTAATCCTAGCAGTCCAAGAGACTGAGGTTGGATTGTAAGTTCAATTACAACTGGGAGACTTAGTGATTTAGGAAGACACTGTCTCAAAATAAAAAAGGTCTGAGAATGTAGCTCAATTCAAAAGCCCTGGATTCAATCCCCATTACTGGGGGTGGTGGGGGACACTGAGCCTGACATATCATGATCCTATGAGTGTTTGTTAATAATGCATCATTCTTTTCTGCATCAACATATTTTTAAATAAAAGTGACTTCCTTTCTACCCCCAGGCTTCATTTGGCTGACTCTTGAGAAGGTAGTCAGGGTTTGATTGCTTTGCTGATAGGGAACAGTCAGAGCACACGGTGCTCTATTGGGATGACCCTGCCCCCGGAAGTTGTATTAGAATTCTCCATTTAGGGGGAAATGTTGGTCTGTCTTTTGTGTAGGACCCACCTTAGAGTAGGGACTCTTGCCGTGCCCCTACAGTATGTGGTACAGGTCAGGCAGTATAGACTACACGGGAATGTGGAGAGTCCCTCCCACAAAAGGCCAGAACCCTGCTGCAGAACGACTGATGGCCAACCTGGAGAGCAGCCTGTGGAACCCAAGAGGATGTGATGTGGAATACGTTGAATTCTGAGAGCTAAAATTTCCTTGCAAGGATGAAAATCTTTTGGATTCTAGCCGCTAAGGAGAATTCTAGAAAAACAAATTTCGACATCAAGCGAACATTTTCCATGCTGACCTGAGGAGACTGAGAGGCCTGGAGCTGGGTGCTTTCCTAAGAAAAGTGGTGGTTTTTTCCATCCATATCCACGGTATAGAGGCCAGAGTGACAAGGAGCCACAAGGCCCTGAGATATATGTGCTGTCAAGATTCCGGCTCTGGCTCAGTTTTGGACCCAGATGGCTGTGGCAAAGTCTTTTAGGTCTCTATTCCCCACTCAAGGAGTTAGAAGCACTTAAGGAGCAGTCAGTTTACCCACAGCACTGAGTGTTCAGGTGCCAGGAGTGAAGTGATACCATCAGGATCCAGGCATCTGTTTTGACATGCGTCAAATTTGAGATTTTGAATTCTCCTGCCCTCCCTCCCTCCCTCTCCCTCTCCCTCTCTTTTTCTTTCTCTGTTTCTGTCTCTCAACAAGCCCAGGCTCACTTGAAACCCTGTGACAATAATGCTGTGTTTATGCCAGCACAGTGAGATAGGGCTGAAAGATTTTGTACCTACTTCTAACCAAGAAACACTTTCGTTAAAGATATTTAGATATATAGTCTTCTATTCATAGTTTTATTGAGATATGGTAGACTGAACCTAAGTGTTATTTAAAGTTGTTAACTGGTTTTCGTGTATTGAGTGTGTATGTGTGTGTGTGTGTTTGCCTGCCTGCCTACTCCAGGTCCATTGTGCTGAGGCAGTAAGGTAACAGACATATAAAGTATTATTCTTATATTATTGTTTTTCTCAACTGTGCCCAGTCAGTACTCATTAAAGCTACTCCCACACACACACACACACACACACCCTTCCTATTCCAGCACCTACTAGCCATATGTTGCTACTTAGATTCACATTTAAATTTGTTAAAATTAAATAAAATTTGATTTTGACTCTTCATTCCTCGTGCCCAATAGGCCAGGGGCATCTGTATTTTAGACAGCATAGATATAGGTCACTTCCATCATTGCAGAAACTGTTGTGAGTATCATCATTCTAGAAGTAGAGCAATGGCTAAGAACCACTGAAAAGGGCAGAAAGCTATGATGATATTTTGTAAATTTCAATCCCATTTTCCTCAATCCTAATTTTTTTTCCTCTACTGGTTTTCATAGGATAAGAAGATGCTCAAAAGAAGAAAGAAGCTGGAAAAAGCAACAAAGCACTTGGTTAAGCAAGAAGAGTTGAAAAGACTTCATAAAGCTCAGGTCAGAAAACAAACACAGGATGAGTGAATGGGCTTGGGGTCTGGGGTCCTGGGAATGGGATGGGAAAGCCCTTCAGGCATCTGTACCACAATGGATAAAGGCAGGCTGGGGAAAATCCAGTGTTTCTTCTCCCCGGGGCCAGATTTGTATCCATCCTGAAGAGCCTGGCTCCATCCTTACTGGGACTCTTGGGCTAATGAGCCCAAGTATTGAGCTGGCCCATGGCCAGCCCCCTTTCTGTGTGCAGCCAGGGTCCTACAAAGGGAGGCTAAAACAAGAGCCAGCTCGTGGCCTTGGGTACCTTGCTGGGCCTGACTAACTTACAGTGATGACCTGCACTTTGTCCTCTGTGAGGACACAAATCTCCCACCCACACACCACCCCCACCCGCACCCCCTGCTGACCCTATCTTGTTAAACTGAGAGCTATTAGGGGCTGTCTCCACTGCTGGACTAGTTGAAGACATAAGTATCCAGCATTCCATTATAGATTTCCTGGCTTGGTAGTTCACTCCAAACATTTCTGCCCAGGGAGATCTGCCCAGCTCCATCAGAATCAGGAAAAACAAAGCAGAAAGTCTAGACATTCTCCATCTGCTTGAGGATCCCAAGCCTAGTCTCCCCCCCGACCCAAACCTAGTCTTAAAGAACAGTTGGATTTCAGGACAACAGGACTTAGGATGACCACGTTGACCTTCCATCACTTTCTCCAGTTATGCCATTTATCTGGCCTTGTAACTCTGTGTGTTGGTCGCCTGCCTAGAACTGTAATAGAATACCTGAGGCAATCAACTTAAACAGATGAAAGGTGTATTGGGGTTCACAGTATCAGGTGTTCTAGTTCATGATCACTCAGTCCTGCTGCTGAGGGCCTGCAGTGAGGCAGCACATCATGGCAGGGAGCTCAAGGTAGAGTGACTCGCTCATCTTCTGGTGGCCAGGAAGCAAAGAGGGATAAAAAGGAGAGGCTGGGGTCCCAGTACAGCATCTCCTCCAAGAGCATGGCCCCAGGGACGTAATTTCTACTGGGCCACATCTCCTTATTGGATTCTCCAAAGAGCACCATGGGCTGGGGACCAAGCCTTTAATACTGGGCCTTTAGGGAACTCGGGAGCCACCTGTACCCCATGGGCAGAGACAACTCCCACAAGCTCGCCTCTTTCTCAACCTCTAAAACAGGTTTCCTTGGAGCATTTCAGCATTTCCTTCTCAGAACAAAACAAGTCTTTATGCTACAGATTGGTGAACTTGGCAGTTTTGCACTCCAGGCAGAAAGTGGTAATAAGAGAAGAATTACAATGGCCTTTTGAGTCCTAACCTGCTAGCACCTGGAGTGGCCCTTTTCAATCTTTTAGTTCCTAAAGAATGACTGCTGAGTCAGTCTGGTTAGGTGCCCATAGCAAAATTCCAAAGATGGAGTGGCTCACACAGCAAACATTTATTTCTTCACAGTTTTGGAGGCTAAAAGTCCAAGATCAAGGTACAGTCAGATTTGGTGTCTGGTGAGGTCTCCATCATGGCTTGTAGACAGGTGCCTTCCCTGTTTTTTTTGTTGTTGTTGTTTTTGGGTTTTTTTGTACTGGGGATTGAACTCGGGTCCTTGTGCTTGCAAGGCAGGTGGCAGAACCACTGAGCTAAATCCCTGGCCCCTTACATGGTCTTTTTGAGAGGAAAGGCAGTGCTCATATTTCTTCCTCCTCTTATAAGGGCACAGGTTTTATCAGCTCAGGGCTCCACTCGTAAGGCCTCACTTAACCCTCATTACTTCCTTATATGCCTTATCTTCAAACATAGCCACATTGGGAATTAGAGCCTCAGCGTATGATTTTTGGGGAAAGCTGTTCAGTCCACAACAACCAAGTAGCTGTAACTGCATAATAATCAGAAATAAAGTCATTTAAATGTTTTCCTTCTTTAGCAATTCTATTCCACACCAGCAAGAGATGGATTTATAAAGATATAAGAATCTGTAAAAGAAAGACCTGAAAAGGGCATGAAATGATTAGTAGTAGGCTGTAGAATCCCTCTGTACTTCGAGGGGCTTTATATGGTCCTAGCTGGGAAAATAAGAGCCAGGTGACTGCAAAGGCCCCGCTCTGAATAGATCTCCCCACAGGGGCAGAGGCAGCTCAGCTCCTGGACTCAGGACTCGAGGGGAGATTCAGAAGGACGTGAGGTTGGAGAGGAAGGGGAGCGAGAGGGCGGAAGCATGGTGGAGGAGGAATGCAGGTGCCCCCTCTGCCTTTGCTGCACCTGTCCCGCCAAGAGATGTGCCTTTTGGCAGCGTGGTATGAGAAGGCAGAGGACGTCGATGGGGATGAACAGAACTTAGAAAGGAGAGGCTCTCCCAACTGTCTTCCTTCATAGACCCAACAGCGGATTAGCTAACAGGAGAAATAAATATATAAATGCAGACCTAGTCGTGATCCCAAACCTTCCTAGGTGCTCATGGCGAATCTAAGCAGAGTATGAGGCTTATTCCTTAATGGGTTAAATATCTTGTGTCTTGTTTTTGCAACTTGTTGGTAACAAAGTCACAGTGTTCGTCTACGGTGATAGCATTCTGGCATCGGGCAGTATTGCAAGAAAGGGCGAGGGCCGCTTGTAGTTACAGCCAAGAGTAGGAGAGCCCAAGAATGGACACCAAGCCCCAGGAGCCAGCCCCGGTCCCCTGTCCAGACACCTTCTCAGGAGGTACACCATTGTTCTTCCTGGGAAGTAGAATGTGAGCAGACACTATTTGTCCTCTCCCCCACCCCCTCTCTGGTGGGTGCAGCCCAGGCGTTGTGCCATGGCCATAGTCAGAGGCTGTGGGCCCTGAACCCAGAACCACAGGACCACCCAGGCCCTGTCTTAAAGGACTCTGGTGTGATTGGCTGTGTTACAGGGAAGTGTCTTAACATCTACTTGGGAGCAGATGGAACTCACACAGTCTCCATGCTTTATGCTCTCATGAAAGAGAGAAGCATCCAGGTCTGGCTGTTTGGGTGTCCAGAGGTCCTCGCCCAGTCGATCAGAGCAGAAATACCATTGCCTTTCTCCTGGGAGTCAGTGACAGCATCACCCTCCGCGTATAACGTTGTGTGTCCAAGGTCCCCTGTGACATGTGATCCTGGCATTGCAGGCCATCCAGAGGCAGCTGGAGGAGGTGGAGGAGCGGCAGAGGGCATCAGAGATCCAGGGCGTGAGGCTGGAGAAGGCCTTGCGAGGAGAAGCAGGTACAGTGTCCATCCTGGCAGCTCTGGAAAGCAGGTGTGGGTCTGTGTCTGCAGTCTGAGAATCCTTAGTTTAAAAATCAAACTGGTGTTGCCGTTTGATTTCTTTTTTTTTTTTTTTTTTTTTTCCCGGGATTGAACGGGTCCTTGTGGGATTGAACTCGGGTCCTTGCGCTTGTGAGGCAGGCAGCAGAACCACTGAGCTAAATCCCCGGCCCCGGCCCCAGCCGCTCACTTTTACTGGGCGTTCCAGATACACCACAAATTCTTTATTCTTCTAGCCCTTGATTCATCTGTGGGCCTTGAAACTGAGCTGTGGCCTCCCCAGCTCTGCTGAATTGAATGAATGTTCTTTGCAATTTAGGGGGTAGGGAAAATCCAGGAGAAATCATTGGGTATTCAGGCAGTGATGGTGATTCAAAGCCCAGAGTTCAAGTCCTGGTCTCTCCTTTCCCTTCCAAACCTTGGGCCAGTCACTTTATAAACTTCATCTTCTCATGGAAAATGGGCACAGTCATGGTTTCCTACGTCACAGGTAAGAAATGAAGATTAAAGAAGTGACTTATGATGCTCTGTTTACTTAGCACATGGCCCAAGGTAAAGCAGTGGATGGTTGCCATCCCACTGAGGGCCTCAGAGTCTTCTGTTCAAACACACTGCTCCCCTGGAGACAACCTTCCATGTGCCGGATGTCCAGACACTGGGTATGAAAAAATTTGTATGGTTCAGTTGAGAAGTTTGTAGGCCACTGAGGGATTCAGATGTAGAAACAGATACACCACAACATAGTGGGGCAAGCACTGTGACAGGGCAGCAAGAGGGAGCAAGGAAAGCAGACCCAGGACCTCAGGCCCAGCTTCCCGGGAGGGGTCGTGGGAGACAGGAATCAGTGGGGAGCAGGGGTCAGCCAGAGAGGAGAGCAGACTGTTCTGAGAGGGAGCAGCACCTGCACAGCCAGGGTTTCAGGTAAAGGGTAACTCAAAGACACCTGCGTTTCCTGGATATTCTCCCAGCAGCCATGTGGTTGAGGCACTAGAGGGGCCCTCAGAGTGTACTGTGCGGCTGTCTCTTTAATTCTGCGCAGTGACGCCTTTGGCCATCTGCACCGGGGATAAGAAATGTGAGCAACAGAACACTGAAGCCTCCTGTCTCTTTGGGATGAGGTGAACATCGTGTGTCCAGGGAAACTCTAGGGAAAGGGGAGCGTCTCCACTCTGCCCCAAGTGCAATTACTTGAGAACAGTGATAATTCTCTCCAAGACCTGAAGCTCACACAGACTGCAGAGGTACAAGGGCTGCTTTCAGCTGCTTTTCAGCTTCCCAAAGGGCCCCAGAGACAGGGTCCAGAGGTTTCAGTCCTGTTAGCTGCACAGTGCTGTTATCAGGAGCTAGCAGGGAAATGTTGGGGGCAGACCTTACCTCTCTGTGCCTCAGTTTCTTGCTTGTGGTGCTGGAGTGATGGTCATCCCTGTCTGTTGCATTTGTGGTGCAGATTAGTAAAAACTCTTAGGTGAAACCTCAGCTCAGAGCCTAGCCCAGGGTGAATGATTAACCACTATTTGTTCCTCTTCTTACTAAATTACACTGCGGATTTCCTTGTAAAGAGAACCCACATTTGTCCATCAGAATTAGGCTTCTTTGCAAAAACAGTGAATGTTTCTTGCTGCCTAAACTGAGTCATGGCCTGTCTCCGTAGCTGTAGCTGCTGTTGGGACTATTTGGTGGGTTGAACTACCCTTGTTTGGTGTTTGGTAATATCCCTAATCAAGGAGGCTCTGCTGCTTGTCTTTAGGAATCTCCAGGGAGCCTCAGTTATGAAAAGAACATACTGTATCAGGAAATCTAGAGCACATTTCACTTGGCTGTTAACAACACATGCTGACACGTGGCGGGGTAGGAAAAGTCAAAGAGCCCTGTGTTCAAATTCTGTTCCTTCCCCTTTAGGCTGGTAGTCCTGGAAAAGTCATCTAACCCCACTGGCCAGAGAAGTCTTATCTGAAAGTTGGAGATAACAATCCCCACGATACCGGCGTCAGGGTGCAAAATACGAGTGTCTACTACATTGTAGACACCCAAAGAAAGCTACCTAATATTGTCTTACAAAATATCATTAAGTATCCACATACATAAGCTTTTAAAGAATTGTCTCTCTGATCATTATTGCTTGACATTTAAATTATAGGTACCAGATTTGTAAAGCTTCTGAAAAACTTCATCTCCATGTGTCGGAAAGAGAGAAAGAAGGAAAGAACGAACGGAAAAAGAAACGAAAGCTATTTTGAGTGATACCTAAAGAAATCTAGCCAGCTGGTGGGGTGTTCAAAGGTGTGCTAGACTAGCCAGAAGATGGATTCTATTCATTCCCTTTCTATCATTGGTAATTTAATTCCCTGGTTAAGTTTATGGGCCTTTTCTCCTCGAATGTTCTCATGGGGGTGACAGATGCAGATCAACCAGGGGCTAGAGACAAATAGAGTCAAGTCAAGGAGAGCGGCCCCAAAGGAAACCAAACGGAAGCTATGCAAGCCAGGCCATCAAAATTAATACACTCTAACCCGTAATAACATTTGCTAAACAATAATATTCCTTTGTATTTGGTCTCTATCTCGTCCCTTTAAGAGATTGGCCTGTTGCTTAATGAATGACCAATGCTTATTAGGTTAAGTTGTATTCGAGCTGGTCTGTGGTGCTCCAGTTCAAGTGATTTAATGGGAATTATTTAATAGGTATTATTAGGATAATTAGAAAATGATCACAGTTAGGCAATAATATTGAGCTATAAAGGTTGTGAATAACCAAATTTAGAGACAGGCCTGAAAACAGGAGTAGCCTGCGACAGTTAGGCAAGGCTCCTCTGATAATTATGTGAGCCAGCTGAAAGAGTCCTTTGTTCCTAGGAGTTATTCATTAGGCAGGCATTGAATTAGAGGAGGGTGGGGGGGGGGG